GAGCTCTAGATCATAATCACTGAGACTTGTATTTGGAGCATCCTGTGTGCCTGCCACGTTCCAGGCCTGTAGAAATCCTTGCCTTCATGAGTTAACAACACACACACACACACACACACACACACACACACACACACACACACTCTACAGAGTATGTTAGTGAAAAGTGCTAAGGCATTAAATGAAGCCAGAAGAGGGGATAGGAAGTGTTGGAGGCAATTAACAATTTTAGGTAGAATTTAACTTGAGTTTTTTGGCTTGCTTTGTTTTTTTGTTTTTGCTGTGAATAGCTAACATTTATATAGCACTCACTGTGTTCCAGGCATTGTTCTAAGCACTTTGCACAGAGTAACTCATTTAATCTTGACCACAGCCCTATGATGTAGGTATCATCCCCATTTTATAGATAAGGAAACTGAGGTACAGAGGTCACACAACTAGTAAGGAGCAGAGCTGGGATTAGAAGAACCCAAGTGGTCCAACCCCAGGCTCTTCACCGCTGTGGAAGATGCCGTTTGTATATTTGATGTAGTTTTGTGAGCTCTGCAATATATAGGTAATGGATTTCCTATATGGGTTTAGAAACCCACACAGAAGCATGAGGGAAGTTACATGACAGCTGAAGGGTCACATAGCCCTCTCGGATGAGATGACAGCATGGTGGAGAGCATGATGAGGTGCCCGGCGAACCCAAGCCAGAGTGGACTTGGACAGGTCGGGCTTGAGCAGCCAGGGAAGGCTTCCTCCTGGGGGATCTGGGCCAAGCTGGAGTGAGGGGTGGTCGGATGCAATGGAGAGGAGTGGGGAAGGCATTCCAGGGAAAGGAGATGCTGGGGGCAGGAGCATCGGGGCGGGACAGTCAGGCGCGTGCTAGGACAGGGATGCTGCAGCCGAGCTCAGGGAGGCGACAGGCTGGGTCCTGGGATCTCCCCGAGGTGCCTCTGTCAATGCAGGCTATGGGGCTTTCATCCTGGGGGGTCATCATCTTCCTCCAGCAGTGTGGTGGGGAAGCCCATGGACGCTAGCCTCAGACGGACCTGGAGTTTAGTCCTCCTGTCATAGCTGTGGCAGCTTGGACAAGCACCCCTCTGAGCCTGTCCCCTCACCTCTAAGATGTGGGAATAAAGTACCCGCCCCATAGGGTTGTCGTGAGGCTTTCACATCAGGCACATAGTAAATGCTCAATAAAGGTTCATCCAGTTGTTTGTTGTTGATACGGTGATGATCATCCCTGAAATCTGTTAATCAGCCTCTTTTGATTCAGCCTCTTTAGGTACCTGCAGTGGGGAGGGGCCGACACAAAAAATGTACTTTCTCCTTAGAAGGCTTGTAGCCTGGTTTACACTCTGAATCATGTTCAGATGTGTGGAGAAAAAAGAAGTCAAGCATGTGCCAAGGGGAATAAAACAAAGTCAGATTCTCACTCGGTGGCAGTGGGCTTTTCTCTAAATGTTCGGTCCTGTTTGTTCCCTCAGCCTCAGTGTCTGCAGAATGATCTGTGGGTAAAAAGGCCTCTCACCCGTGATTAATCTCAGGCCATTTCTTTATCTCTGGGCACTAGGCAAGGATTTATGAGGTAAGGAGATCTTGTCTACACACAGATAACCTAATAAGTAACATCGCGGGGCTCCAGACAAACGCTTGCCAGCATCCAGCTGTGGAATAACACTTTCCATCGCTGCCTTTGCTATTACTGGCCACAGAGGAGATTCCCTGCCAGGAAGGCAGCTCCGTAGATCGCCCACCTAAACTCAGGGAGGGATTGGGCCTCAGCTTTCAGAAAAGCTCAGAACTGCTCACAGCACGAGATGTTAAAGTCAACCTCTCCACCCTCCGTGAGATGCCTCAGGGGAGAGCTTCGCAGCTGAGGCAGACCTGGGTTCCAGCTGAGTTCATCCTCTTACTTACTGTGTGACTGTTGGGCAAGTTAATCCCCTTCTCTGCTCCTCGTCTGTGAAGTGGGGACAGTAACAGAACCTCCCTAATAAGGATGGTGTGGTCATTGAATGAGACGATGCATGTAAGTCACTTCCCACGGTGATTTACCAGCACAGGGCCTGGGGTGGGTTTGGATGTGGCAGTGTAACATAGTAGCAGTGATAGTGTTGTTGTGTTATTTTAATTAGTTAGCTTATCCTTAGTTAGCTGTACTAAGCACTTTATACATAGTAACTCATACTCTTTACAACAACCCAATGAGGTAGATACTGTTGTTATTCCCATTTTAAGGATAAAGAAACTGAGGCACAGAGGAGTACAAGTAAGTTGTACAAAGTTTACAGCAGAAGTAGCCTTTGCACCGGAGTCTGGCCATGGGGCCTGTGCCCTTTGCCCTTCTGGCAACTTGTGGTGCTCATGGAAATGTCCCCTCCTCATCCTTCAGGTGTCATACGTCCAGTGGGCCTAGGAGGGGCAGGTTGTCTTGTTCAGCACAAGACACAGGATTGTTCAGGATGAGCAACTGGTCAAGCAGGAAGACCTGGATCTGGTTTCTGGGGCAGACACCTATGGAACACGTGTCCTCATGTTCTGTTTGCAGACAGTTTAGCATCTGCCTTTGTTTCATGTAGGGTATGACGCCGCTGATGTATGCCTGTGCTGCTGGGGATGAAGCGATGGTCCAGATGTTAATTGATGCTGGAGCAAACTTGGACATCCAGGTGAGAAAGCCCCCAAGGGCTGCACCGGGCTCCTAACCCAGCAAGAGAACACCCCAAGGTCTTCTTCTGATGCTTTGGACAGCTAGACATGTCTCAGAGGACTGAAGATGCAAGATGCACAGAGATCACAGTTAGCAAAGAGGGTTTTTCCTCAAGATTTGAACTTTCTGTCAGAGAGGAAGTGAGCTCAGAGGGGAGTCGAGCAGAGAGAATGGCTGTAATTCTGTTACTGTAGCACCTTTCCCATTTTATCAACCTAATCCCCAGCCATCCCCACCATCCCCAGATACTTCTGGCTCTACCTCCCACTGAGGCATAAAGTGTTCCCTCTCTGCCATCTCTCTGCCCAGGGCAGACATCACTAATTGAACATCCTTTTGAGCCTTTTCCACAGGGTACTCCAGGCAGACGTTGCCAATCGAATGTAGAAAGCTCTTGAGTTGACTCCTAGTCACCATCCCTGCAGGGCTCCCCTTAGCTCAGGCGGCTGTGTCACCTGCCCAGGAATGTCACTGACCTAGGAAACACTGATCATTTGTGGTGTTTTTCCAGGTTCCAAGCAACTCTCCCAGGCACCCCTCCATCCACCCTGACAGCCGGCACTGGACCTCACTGACATTTGCTGTCCTGCACGGACACATCTCTGTGGTCCAGGTGAGCTCCTGCCAGGTATGCAGCGTGCTTGCTGAGTGGGTTGAGCCCCAGGCATAGCCCCAGCCTTACCTGTATGAGCAGCAGCCTGGAGTCAGAGACACCAGAGGCGCTAGTTAACGCTAGCTCACTTGGTCAGCAAAGACCCACCTGGTCTGCCTCCAAGAGCAGGCTTCAGTGTGAGGATACATGTGAGAATTTTAGGGAGCAAGACACAGGCCCAAGTAGTACCAGGCCTGCCTGGCATCTCTGCATCTGTGGGTGAGTCCTGGGGCGTGCTGGAATCTGGAATCTGTGCAGGTGTGCTCCATTTCTCTCCTCCAGTAATCTTTCCAACCCTTAGCTGTTTTTACTCCCTCATGAGTTCTGCCGGCTCTATACAGCATGCTGTCCTTCCGGTTCTGCCCCTCCCTGGTAGCAGGCGTAGTCTCTCAGCTCCCCAGTTCCTGAAAGAGGACTCAGATTGGCACAGCTCGCCTGTCAAGCCAAGCCACACTGTGCCCACCTTGGTCCCAGTAGCTGTGGCTGGCGTGAGGAGGGGGTTCAGGCCTAAAAGTGGAAGCCGTGGATGGGGCATGGTGACACTGCCACTCGGCTCCCAGACTCCTTCACTCCTCAGGCCACAGGCCCACAGGATTCCAGACTCCTTCCTGGGAGTTCGTATTCCACCCTTGCTGTCTGCTAGATTGTGGGGCCTCTGAGAACAGGGGTCATGTCCGGTCTATTCATCGCTGTGCACCCAGGCCTGGCCTATAGGAGGGATGCAGTAAATGGCGGTCAGTGGGCTGACTACCACATCCTGCCTGCTTTTTGGTGCGCGTCCTCCTAAGGCCCTGAGCAGAGTTCCACGCTAGCCCAGACTGGCCTGCAGGGCTGTACCCTGGACTCACCTGGACTGGTGCCCATTTTCACCCTGACGGGCAGGCCTCTTCCTCTTCCACCTTGGCGCACTGGCTCAGGCAGCGGTGCCCTTTCTGCCTGACGGGAGCCTCCCACCGACAGCCGCCCCCATGCTCCACGCTGTGGGGAGGCTGAGAGGTCAACCTGGGCCCCTCGGAACTGGTCTCCAGGTGGCGGGACCGCGGTGTTGCCTGAGCCGGCCGAGCACGGGCTCTGAGGGGACTTTGGTCTCCGGAAACCTGGGAGGGTTGGAAGGCGGCTCCCTCCAGAGCAGCCGGTCAGGAAAGGTGAGATGGAGCTGAAGTCACTTCTCGGTGAAGCAGACCCACCCCTGCCCCAAGGCAAAGCCAGCCAGCTCAGCTGGAACTGCTTGGTATCTGTTAGCCCTGCCCCATCTGTCCCCTGCAAGACGTGCCCTTGCTAGAATGGGGAGAGGCCACCTGGTGTCCCAGACAGTGAGGTTCTGCCCCAGCCCCACGCTTCCCAGCCTTGGGTAGCTCACCGAACCTCTCTGATGAGAACCCTAAAAGCCACTAGTTATTGAGCCCCCTATGGAGCGGTGAGCACCGTTTCACTTCATCCCCAGCAAGGCTGCAAGGCGGGCCTCTTTTGCATTTTCCAGATGAGGAAGACTGAGGTTTGGGGAGTTGAGGTACCTGCCCCAGGTCACCCACTGGTCTGTGGCTAGCACTGGCACTCAGCTCTAACACCTCTGCCGTTCCCACTACCTCTGCTGCCTCCAGAGCCCCAGTTTCCCCCAGTCGACTGGGGGGTGGTGCCTTCTTTTCTGCTCATCTGTGTGAGTTCTTACAAAGATCACTGCAGCCAGTTTGTAGGAAACTGTTTGAAAGGGAGAAATAGCTCAGAGGTCCCTATAGCTTAGGGGCTTGGTCCAAGGCCACAGGGGTGGAGGTGAAGATACTAGACACTTAGGGCCCTGAAGGTAACCAGGAGTTCTAAAATTCTGGTTGCCTGGATGCCCGGGTGAGCCAGTCCTTGGTCACGTGCCACAGGAGGGAACTACAGGCCCCTCCCCAAAGCCTCCCTACGCATGCCCCAGACGCTCCCTACCACGCTGAAGTGTCCTCCCTGTGCCCTGGCAGTTGCTGCTGGACGCCGGTGCCCACGTGGAGGGCTCGGCAGTGACCGGTGGCGAGGACAGCTATGCGGAGACACCCCTGCAGCTGGCTTCTGCAGCCGGTAGGTACACTACTGCCCTGCCCAGTGAGGGTCCCCTACTGCCCCACGGGTCCACCTCCTCCTCCCCAGAGTGTCACCCAGCCTGGCTGAGCTGCGCATGCAGATCACTGTGGTGAGCCTTGAAGCCCCTCCTTCTGGGTCCCAGGGGCTCCCCTTCACCCCATCGTCAGTGTTTCTGCCACACGCACTGCCCAGGCAGGCCCAGCAGAGGGGCAGTGACACGGGCGGTGGAAGCATCCTTGGTCCACCTTGTCTTTCAGGGAACTACGAGCTGGTCAGCTTGCTGCTCAGCCGGGGCGCCGACCCCCTCCTCAGCATGCTCGAAACCAATGGCGTGGCCTCCTCCCTCCACGAGGATATGAACTGCTTTAGCCACTCAGCCGCCCACGGCCACAGGTACCCGCCCGGGGCTCCTGCCCCGTGTGCTGGGGGGCACGAAGCAGGCTCTCAGCAGAAGAACTAGGCCTGGAGGTCCTCCCAGAGGTGGGGGCTGGGGGTGGCTGCACGCACACCAGCCGGAAAGAAGACAGGGCTTCAGGCAGCACGGGGGCCCCGGATGTTGGAGGCCCGGAGACGCTGGGTTGCTTAGAGGTCCTACAGCCAGTTCATGGCAGACGTGGGACCGGAGCAGGCCCTCCCATTCCCCCGTGAGGCGCTCCACCCTGCAGCCACCCAGGACCCCATCCCTTCCCATGCCTGGGGTGCTTCTCCGGTGCCTGCAGTGGCCTGGGGCGCTAGAGGCTTCCACACAACAGGCAGCTCCACCACGAAGACGCCGCTGGTGGCTCTGCAGGAGATCGCGTCTCGCTCCAGGAGCAGATGGTGGACCTTGCTCTGCGGGGGCTGGGGCTGCGAGAGGGCAGGGCTGAGAGCAGAGCCGTTAGGCAGCTCGGGGGGCAGAGGGAGACAGGGAAGAGGTGAGTAGAAGGCAGAGAGGGCAGGCGGGACACCTGCTTCCCGTCCTCAAGCCCAGACTGTGCCCTTGCTGTGGCCCACTCCCTAGCGCGCTTCCCCGCCCCCTCGCCTTCTGCGCCCGGCCCCTGCTCTCACCCATCTTCACCAGCCCTGCCCTCAGGCACCACCTAGCAGGGCACGGCCTCCAGGCCTCTCTACCCCGCCCAGTGCCCGCATTTTCCCCCCGCTGTGGACTCTTCACCCCACGTGGAGTTGCCCCTCTGCTCATCGGCTTCCCACTGTCTCTGGAACAAGGGCTCCCTTGGGTGGGCGCGGTGGGCGCTCACCGTCACATGCCAGCTCACGCCAGACCGGGTGCTCTGTTAAATTGCTGAACTGGCAGAGCTACAGCGGGATGACCCAGGTCCCTCGAGGGGGTCCCTGCCGTGCCTCCATCACACAGTAGGGGAAGGAGGTGGGGGAGGGGTGGCCAGGGCCGCTGGGAGGAGGCTCAGCCCCAGGTGACCTGTGGGCCTGGCCCTGCTGCAGCCTGCCCAGAGCCCCAGCCCACAGGCTGTGAGGGACGAGCCTGGGGCTTGAAGCTCTGCGTCTGAGTCTTCATCCTGCTCAGAGTGACCGTGAGCAAGACGTAATCATCGCCCACAAATGGCGAGGTTCATGGGATCGCTCAGGTTAAATGCAGCGGTACACGGGAATATGCTCCGTCGAGCATCCAGGGTTCTACACATCTGTGTATGTTAATGAATTCAGTATAAAATGCAGCTCCACTTCATTCTTACTAATGGAGGGAAAGGAAGAAGTGAGCATAAGCATGTCCTATGTTTCGGACACGTTTACGTGTGTCAAGTTGGCTGCTATTAGGAGGACTGCTAGGTATCAGGCTCTGCATTTGATGTCATCACATTGGCCTCACGTTAACCGGGAGAGCATGATGCTGACGCCCTGTCCTACAGATGACAAAGCCGTCAGGGCTCAGAGAGGTAGAACAACCTATCCGAGATCACACAGGTTGGCAGAACCTGCTTGGTCTCAAAGCCCACGACTTCTTGGCACTACATGGATGGCAGAAGGGGGAGGTCTCCTGCACCTTCCCCTTAACTCCCCAGGTGGCCGGGGATGGGGGTCGCTGGGAGCCCTGGCCCAGCCTGCCTGGCGGGGGCGGGGGGGGAAGACCGTGAGCCCTTTGTGCCCGCAGATGCCCCGTAGCTGCCCATCTGGACCACGGGCCGCCAGAAGTCAGCTCGGGGGGCGCCGTCCGTGGCGGGAGCCTCAGGCATCGCCCTCCGTCCCTTTACCCACAGGAACGTCCTGCGGAAGCTCCTGACGCAGCCGCAGCAGGCCAGAGCAGACGTGCTGTCCCTGGAGGAGATCCTGGCTGAGGGCGTGGAGGAAAGCGACGCGTCGAGCCAGGGCAGTGGCAGCGAGGGGCCCGTGAGGCTGAGCCGGACGCGCACCAAGGCCCTCCAGGAGGCCATGTACTACAGCGCGGAGCACGGCTACGTGGACATCACCATGGAGCTGCGGGCACTAGGTGAGACCTTGCGGCGTACGGGCACACACACACACACACACACACTCACACTCACACTCACACTCACACTCACACACACGCTCTGCCGCTCCTCAGGCCAGGAGAGGGCCAGGTAGCTGAGTGTAGGGCAGGGCTCAATTCCCCCAGGCCTGGTGACTGACAGCCAGGACAGGAGCTGCCCTGAGCCTCAGACAGTCCTCCGTGGGGATGTGTCTCAAGAGCCTCACCCCAGCCCTGTGCCCTCAGGTCCCCCAAGCTCCCTGGTCAAGTCCTGGGATGTGTCGCCCTGGGAGCATCCGTAGCACTAGGGGTCTACATTTCTGGTCAACTAGATGCTCTCCAGTCCCTCAGCCAACCTCCCCACCTCCTTGGGTCTGCAAGCCTGCCGACCTCTCCTTCCCTCCCGGTAGGCTGGTCAGACAGACGGACTTGGGTGAGAGCCTAGCCCCGCCACGCTCGCTGGTGCTGATGACTTTCCTCTACGAATGTGGTGTCGTCACATGCAGCCCAGAGCCCAGTGCCAGCTCACCATCAGCACTCAGTGCACGATGACAGCATCGTTACTCTCCCGGGTGCCATGACACACGAACGCCCGGCGCTGGGCCAAGGCAGTGGGAGGCCACGTGGCCCTGCTGTGGCAAGCCAGCCTCAGTGTTCTTCTCTGTGAAATGGGCTCCTACATACAGTCAGTCAACCAGGGATGCTAACGTTACGCACGTCGTCGTGGGGGGCAGGGAATGCCATCGATCCTTTTTTAACCCATGGTGAGGTGGGGGAGTAAGAAGCAATCCCTCTAATTATCAGAAACATCACTAGTTTTTGTCACGATCTTTACAAAGTAGTTGTAAGTTGCTCTGCGGCCCCGCCGACACACTCCAGGGAGCTGGTAAACAGTAATTACGTGGCACTGGATGTGCATAAACAGACCAGTGAGCTGGGCGATAGGACGGGGTTGATTTCAGGCTTCTAGACAGGCAGGGATCCCCTGCGTCCCCAAGCACCCTGCATATCCTCCGGGTAGCCGAGTCTCCCGGGCTACCCCTCGTAATTATAATGGGTCCTCCCCCAGTAAGTCAGTCCAGGGCCCAGCAAGGAGTCGGGCCAGTGTGGGTGCTGGGGTTGCGCTTGAAAGTCCCCAGGCTGAGCTGTGGATTTTCAGAGCTCGGGCTCCCTGCACTTGGTCTGGAGGCATTCCTCCACCTCATCTGACACGAACCCGGGCACCCTCTGATCTCTCAGGGAGGCCCGTCAGGGTGAACGGAAGCTTTGCTTACTGGCTACACCGAGGGGGCTGGGGGCTGCCCCCTGCTCTGCAGACACTGGGCACATCGCAAGAGAGCCTGCCAGGAAGGGGTTCATCGGGAGGTGGGCTCGGTGGCCCCCACAGGGAGTGCTCTGCCCAGGGGTGACTGCTGCCCTTCCCCTGCCCGGGCCCAGGCGTCCCCTGGAAGCTGCACGTCTGGATCGAGTCTCTGAGGACGGCCTTCTCCCAGTCTCGGTACTCGGTGGTGCAGAGCCTCCTGCGGGATTTCGGCTCCATCAAGGAGGAGGAATACAACGAGGAGCTGGCGACCGAGGGCTTGCAGCTCATGTTCGACATCCTTAAGACCAGCAAGGTGAGTGTCTCCGGGCAGGTCCCTGCCCCAAGCTCAGAGAACCCAGGCTCCAGAGCCCGCGGCCCCAGCAGACCATGGGACGGACACGGAAACTGACTCATAGGAAGACAGACACAGGGACAACCCCTCCCACGGACAGATGGACACAGGCACCTTCACGCACGCGGGTGGACGCCCACCCCACACGCAAACGTGCACCGCCTGGCTGCAGAGGCCATGGATTTGCCTGGGCTGGAGCCCGGCCAAAAGAGCGATTTGGGGAATCAGTGTTGAAGGGACAGGCCTCCCTCACCAGGCCACCTCCAGGAGGAGCAAAAGGCAGCGGCTGCTCTGATCCTGGCCTGGACTTCTGAAGTTGGCCCGATGTAGCAGGAGCTATAAACAGACGGCCACAGGATCGGGGGTTGAGCTCATGGCCCCTCCCTCCCTCCCTCTCCCCCCACAGAACGACTCTGTCATCCAGCAGCTGGCTGCCATCTTCATGCACTGCTACGGCAGCAGCCCTATTCCCAGCATCCCTGAGCTCCGCAAGACCCTGCCGGCCAGGCTAGGTGAGGCCTTCCCCACCGGCCATCTGTGCTTGCCAGGCCTCCCTGCCCTCCCCTCCCTCCCCTTTTCCTTTCCCTCTCCTCTTTGTCCTTCCCCTTTCCAAGTGCCATGGCCTGGCCTCAGTTTCTCTGCTCTCCACATTCCCCACCCCATCTGCCCCCAACACACATGTAAGAAACCCCTGGAGGCAGGCTCCTCAGTCACCCCCTCTCCTTCCCTACTGGCAGATCCTCACTTTTTGAACAACAAGGAGATGTCGGATGTGACCTTCCTTGTGGAAGGAAAGCTGTTTTATGCACATAAAGTCCTGCTGGTGACAGCTTCTAACAGGTAGGCAACCCGGATAATGAAGTTTCAGCTGCTGGGAGGCTGGGCAGCTTCATGTGGATACAAGGTGATGGACAGGCTGGAGAAGAGCCTCTGCCCCCCACAGGGAGGTCACGGAGCACGGAGGTCACGGAGCGTGGAGGCCCCATCCGCCCCACCGCGGGCATGGGACAAGTTGACAGAGGGACAGTCGAGATGGGACCTAGAGTTCTCCAAGAGGAGCTCTGAGGCTGTATTCTGTCTGGCCAACTTGCTGCCTTTGATTATTAGAAAACGTAAATGTTCTGGCACGAAAGTCAGTTTTCCAGCCGCAGGCGTCACAGTCACTCATCTAGGGGGCAGCAGGGACAGAACGGGGCTCAGCCCAGCCGTCTGGACGATGTAAAACGTCACTCGCCGAGAATTATTTTGAGAGCACGGCAGTAATTTTTAAAATGCTCCTGTGCCCTGGTGGCCAGTCAGGTGGTGGACGGTGCCGTTGCCACACGGCCATGGAGTGAAAGTCACGTTCAAGCCCCGTCTTGTCTCATCTCCTTGGCTCCAGGTTCAAGACACTGATGACCAATAAATCAGAGCAAGATGGCGACAGCAGCAAAACCATTGAGATCGGTGACATGAGGTACCACATTTTTCAGGTATGTGGCCCTCAGTGCTGCGCGCTTCTCAAGGGATGCCCCCTCCCCCTAGGAGCCCCACCCTGGCTCGTCCATCTGGGCGGGAGCAGCCGCGAGTCGGTCATAATCTTCCCCTCTGTCCCCAGTGCCGTCTCTGTTTTGCTGAGTCTCAGTGGTCAGGTTGGAGCATCTAGGTTTTTCGCAGGCAAAGGTAGCCGTTCCATTGTGACTTTGTAGCTTCAGACCCTGTCTCGTGGGCCCTGAGCTCTAACCACTGGGTGAGGGGTCTGGGCAGACTGATGGACGTGTAAGGACAGGCGCACACCACACGTGCAGCACGTGAGTCCTTGTTCCCCGGAGTGAGCTCCCAGAGTACAGACGTTGCCTGCGTGCTTGTTGGGAATGCAGAACCTCAGGCCCCACCCCAGACACCCCACATTTTAACAAGACCCCGGTGGGTGGAGGGTTACGTGCGCGTGCGCTGGTGTAAGTCAGTCACTCCTCCCGAGCATCAGACCCCAGCCATGCCGGCCAAGCAGAAGAGGCTATGGTGAGCCCATCCTGGGTGTGGAAGATCAAGGTCAGGGCTTTCGATCTCTAAGCTTCGGAGAACCTCAGAGGTTGCGTAACGGAAACTCCACAGGCTGGCCAGCGGGGTCTGTAGGAGGAGGCTGGCTGGGGTCTACGCCGAGCTCCGGTGGGGAGCTCCTTTCTCCAGTGATCTCCAGGCTGCAGGCATGACCCTCAGGGGCTGAGACTGAGGCCAAGAGGCAGCTGGTGGGTGGGTCCAGGACCTGGCCTTGCACAGGACAGGCTTGTGACTTAACGGGAGAGATCACAGCCTCACAGAAGCATGAGGAGCCACCATCTACAAGGGTTTAGTCCCTCTCTCACGTTTCCTGTAGTCATTTAGTCATTTAGCATTTCGCATTTAGTCACTTACGGGTACTGTGGAGACAGCAGTAAACGGGACAGGGACCCTGCCCTCCACGAGACAGGGTTATGAATTAGTGGTATAGGTGTGGTGGGGAAGGCACTGGGAGAGCAGGACGGGCCATCTAACCCAAAGCTGCGGAGGAGGACGAGGGCAGCCAGCCGGGTATCGGGAGCTCCAGGTAGAGGGAGAAGTGCACGCAGGGTCTGAAAGGCAAGGGACCACGACCTGTTCAGGAAGTGCCCTCTGGCCTAGTCCTGGCAGCGATTCAGAAGAACGTCCAGAATGAGGCTGAAGCTGCCCCCAGGAGCCAGAGCATGAAGGGCCTGAGCTTTAACCCAAGGACAGATGGAAGCTACTAGGAGGCCACCATCATCACAGACACTTAGCCAGGCATGGTTCCGAGTGCTTTGCCCCTGTTCTTCAGTTAAGCTTCACAGCACAGTCCTAGGAGGTACAGGTTTGTTATCCCCTCTTGGTAGATGAGGGGGGTCACAGGCACAGAGAAGTTTGGTAACTTGTCTTAAGGTCACAGAGCTGAGAAGTGACAGAGCCAGGATTCAATCTTAGGATGTGGAATGGTCCAGTTTGCATTACCTCACTCACTCTGGAGGGTGAGGAAGGGACTGGAGGGGGCATGACTGCAGCCAGGGGACCAGATAGGAGGATGTTGAGAAATCCAGCTAAGTGATGATGGTGACCAGGTAGTGGTAGCAGGATGGAGGGAAGTGGGCGAGGGGAGAGTGGATGGAACTCGGCGACTCATCGGGGTGGGAGACCCAGGGTCTGGCATAGGGTGTCTCCCCTCCCCCCTTTTCCCATCCCTTGAGCCAAACTCACTGGGGAGAGGAGCAGCTCTAGAAACTTACTTGGCTAAGAAGCCCAAAGTCCAGGTGAGTTGGAGCATCAGGTGGGGTCAGGCTCTGACACAGGAGGTGGGTCTGAGAAGGGCAGAAGGGATTGGGCGGGAGTCGCGGTGGGGGCGGGGAGGCAAAGGGCACACGTGTGGCTCGGGTGACCACTGCCATCAAGGCTGCATTCACTCAGCAGGGGAGGATGCCTGTTCCAGGACAGGCTGGGCAGCCCTTGATGACTTCTCGGGGTTGTCACGAGGGTAGACGGGGACAACAGGTCTAACGTCGGGGCACACGTGAGCCTGGGCATGTTAGCCTCTGGCCTCACCCCATGGGTCCTCTGGGGCAGAGCTCTGCCATCACTGGGGGGAGCCCGAAGCCATCAATCCAGGGCCGGTGCTCCCTAAAAAAGCCTAAAAGTTTCAGAGCAGCCCCCAAACATCTCATTGGCTCTCACAGCATGAAGAGAAATGGCGGTCATTATTTGTTTTCTAGAACAGGAAACAGAGGCCCAAGGAGATCTAAGCAGTGCTATCATCCAATAGAAAGATAATGCAGGCCACACAGGTAATTTAAAATCACTTGGTAGCCACAGAAACAAAAAGGAACAGGTGAAATGAATTTTAATATTATTTAACTTAATGTAGCCAAAATAGTATCATTTCAACATATAAAAAATTAATGAAATGTTTTACACTAAGTGTTCAAAATCCAGTTTTGACACAACACGTGCTAATTCAGAGCAGCCACGTTTCAAATGCTCAAAAGCCACACATGGCCAGTGGCTATTGCATTAGCACCGGTCTAGACACTTGCCAAGGTCACTGCCGACTAAACCCAGGCCTTTGGGGGAGAGCCCTGCCGTTGTGACGTGGCTCTTGACCCCAGGCCTGTCCCTGCAGCATCAGTGGCCTCCCTGTGGTCACATTCCTGGTGGCCCACTCTGGGCAAGAGGACGCCTGGCAGCCCCTGCGGCCGGTCCTGACAGCTGCTCACAGGGCGGCCGGTCCAGCCCAGCTCCCCAGGCTGCCCGCCAGCAGCCCAGCTCCCTCAGCCACCCTCCAAAAGGGCAGTTCTGCTCTGACTTCTGTGGACCCGTGTGCATTCAGGTGACCTCAGGGAGATGCACGTGCCACAGATGCCTGGGCCTGGCCAAAACCAGCTACCAAATGCAGCAGGAGGCTGCCTTCCAGGCCAGGAAGGGGAGCTGCAGGCTGTCACCTGTCTCCGAGCCTCTATCCCTGGGCCCATTCTCGCCTAGGGGCTGCCCTGAGGCCATCCCTTAGCAAAGAATCCCTGCAGATGTGACCTACCCCACTCCCAGCCCTGGGCGTTCAGAGCTGTCCTGCTGGTGCTGTGCTCAGCACCCACTCAGCTGCCAGCATGGGGATGGCAGAGGAAGCCAGGCGTGGGCCCGGTACCACCTGGAGCCGTGGGACACATAGACACATATGTGTTAACTGTAGGATCGCCACGTGAGCTCCAGCAGGGGCTGGGGAAGGCCTTCGGGGGCCCCCGCTCCTCTGAGGGGGAGAGACTGATGTCTCCTGGACAGGCCTTGGGCCTGGATGAGGCTGGTGGGCCCTCCCCACTCCCCCCCCACCCCTCCCCCAGGTTGGGCTCCTTCCCTCTGGTGCCGCTTCCAGCCTGGGGGCCAGTCCTAACAGAGCTTGACTGTGCTGGCTGGAGCCATGTTTACTTACACACTTGCCAGCTCCTTGCTGGGGCCGTTTCTTCAGCCAACCAGGGAGAATCATTTTTCTTTTTCCAACTGGGAAACTCCCCAGTGTCCAGCGTGATGGCAGAGCTTGTAACTCAGACCTCAGCAGAACTAAATGTAGCCTCCCTCCCCACAGGCCACCTCATGTGGTGTCCCAGGGCCCTCTGTTCCCAAGAATCCTGAAGGTCCTGGGCTGGTCAGCAAGGTGACCTCTGCAACTTACTTTCCAGGAGGGAGTCGGGATCTGGCTGTCACCTCCACGTGGAGGCCTAGCGCCGACAGGGAGGTCAGGAGTTGGGATCCTGAGGGTGGCCCGCCAGACAGTCGCCCCCTCAGAGCCCCACCTCCCCCTCTCCCAGCCCCAGACTTAGAATTTCGGTAAAAGGAGAAACGAGCGGCATGGTGACTGGTGGTGAGCTGGAAGGGTTCTGGGGAGGGGGCTCAGCCCCCCTCCCTGGCCTCAGTTTCCCCAGCTGTGAGTAGTATCTGCCCTCCTGGGCTCACAGGTCTGTCCTGAGGATTGAAGTGAAACCACTCTGTGGAAGGAAGCTTGCCACACGCATTCCAGGGAAAACACAAAAATGTCTGATGAGAGTCGGGGGAGGTGCGGACGTCAGCACACAGAGGTCAGGGGGCACCAGGAGGCCAGCAGCGGCTGGAGCGGCACTCCGGGGGTGCCGGGTGAGGACTTCGGTGCTGTGGGTCCATCTGGCGCTCACACCGGGCCTCTCCTCCCTACAGATGATGATGCAGTATCTGTACTACGGGGGAACAGAATCCATGGACATCCCCACCGGCGACATCCTGGAGGTGAGGACCTGGCCGGTCTGCCCGGCCCCAGGGGGGGAGGAGCAGGGAGGCCATGAGCCTGGCCCCAGTCCCGCCATGCCTGTGTCCCCGGCCTGCGACATCTTCCAGGTCTCAACCCCGCCCTCAGAAACACAGCACTTGGAGAGATGAGGAGGGAAGGACGGTGGCCTCTGCAAGGACCTCCTGGTTCCCTGCTGGTCCTTGCTCTTCTGGCGACGGGAAGCGCCATTCCAAGAGTGTGGGAAATTGTGCACCCACGGAGCCCGGCCTCCCGGGCCACACCTCGGGGTTAGAAAGGGCCACCCCTGAGGATGGAAGGCCCAGAAGGATCAGAAGGCAGCGAGGCCTTCCCCTCACCAGGTCACTGCTCAGAGAACGGACCCGCTGCTGGCCGCGCACCTGGCTAGAAGGTCACGTAGATGAGCGGGCAGCGTGTAGTTGAAGGCCTCCTGACGTCAGAAATCCCAACCAGCGTCTGTCACCCATCCGGTGCCTCCCGAGGTGTCCCAGCCAATATGTAGATAGCCTAGAGTAGAAATAAATCTAGGCCGTCAGACTTGACTGGCAGCGGGGAGGTCGGGAGGAAGCAGAGCACACAGCACAAAGCAGCTGTCTGTTCCATGATGCCTGGCCCGCAGACCGGGCCATGCATACCCACGGCCTCCTTTGCCTCCTGCCAGCTGCTGTCAGCTGCCAGCTTGTTCCAGCTGGACGCCCTGCAGCGGCACTGCGAGATCCTGTGCTCCCAGACCCTGAGCGTGGAGAGCGCCGTGAACACCTACAAGTATGCCAAGGTGAGGACCCCTGATGCCCGCCGGCTGCCTCCCAACACACACTCTGTTCCACTGTGGCCTGGCTAGAAAATACAGTGCCCTTCAAAGCTGCCTGGCCACCTGCAAGTCCCTCTGTGGCCTGGCGTCACTGCCGCCCAGTGGGGCAGCATCGCAGCCTGGGAGCTGAGCTGTGAGCCGGGTGGATCTCAGTTCCCATCCCAGTCGTGCTGCACCAGGCTGTGAGACCTGGGCCAAGGAGCTGAGCCTCTCTGAGTCAAATCAGCTCCCCAGGCACTACTTGATTTTCTTTCCTGCATGGCCCTCCTTAGTCTTCCTCCTCTCAGCAAACGCCATGGTCATCTGCCACATCTAGAAACACTCCTGAAACACATCAGCAGTCCCTCCCCTTCCCTCCATCTCCACTGTCCCCTCTCGTGGACAACTGCTGCCCTGGCCTCCACACTTCCTGGCTTTCACCCTGCAATCCACAAGACCCTTGGAAAAGTAAAGACCGTGTCACTCCCCTACGTAAAGCCTCCAAAGGTTTTCCACTGCAAACTAAATAAAATCCAGCCCTTATCTGTCGCCCATTACGCGGGCCCCAGGACCCTGTCCACATCTCCCCTTCCGATGCCGCCCCTCTGCCTTCACCCAGCCACGCGGCCCACGTCTCCTCCTCAACTCATTCCCACCGCAGAACTCCTGCGATCACTGTCCCCTCCCCCCCGGTAAAGCTCTTCCCAAGCCCTGTTGATTTCCCCAGGCCTCCCCCGAGTCACACACCTCTCTGCCCCTTCACCCACTCTCACGTTCTCACGGCACTAACCACAGTCTGTGGTTTCCTGGCCTGGTTGGTTCCTTGGCTTCCCTGTCTTCCTGAACTGGAACATCAGCTCTGAGACAGCATCGCAGACCTGGGCCTCGAGGCCTGCGCCCAGCACCTGGCCCAGAGCGGGCACTCCATATTTGTTGACCTGAAATAGTTACTGAGTGTTTACCAGGTGAACGCTCGTGTGCTGGGCCTTGTGCTGGACATCCCAGAGTGGGCAGTCCCTGCCCTTAGTGAGGGAGCTGCCAATCCAATAGGGATGACTGGCATTCAACAAGCCGTCACCAGCGGGACCTAGGCCAAAAACAAGATTTCAGGGATGTTCCTGGTGGCACGGCTGGGATTTGAACCCCGATCAGTCTAACCCCAAGGAGAGGCTTATGGAAGGAATTCAGATAAGGGGCCGGTCGCCCCAAGAGATAGGACATGCCTCCTCCAGGGTGAGGCTTGAAGCTGGGCCTTAGCCCATGGGTACTATTTGGAGGTGAGGGTAGGGGGAGGTTTCGGGCAGGGCTGTGCTGACGCAGTGGGTCTCACCCACTCCCTCTCCCTGCCCCACAGATCCACAGCGCCCCCGAACTGGCCCTGTTCTGCGAGGGCTTCTTCCTCAAGCACATGAAGGCCCTGCTCGAGCAGGACTCCTTCCGGCAGCTCATCTACGGCCGCAGCAGCAAAGTGCAGGGCCTGGACCCGCTGCAGGACCTGCAGAGCACCCTGGCGGAGCGCGTGCACTCTCTCTACGTCACCTCACGTGTGTGAGGTTCGGGGATGGCCGGCTCTGGGCCAGGCTCTGTCGCCAGGCATCCGAGCGGGTGGGAAGGGCCGGGAGCAAGTGCTTCCCGGGGTGCCTGGGCCAGCACGTAGCCAGGGCCTGTGGACACGCTGGGGCCCTGCTGGGTGGAGGCTGGTTACAGGCCCTCTTGGAGCCAGACCTGGGCAGGCCCAGAGCTAACCACTGGCTCAACCAGTGATGGGCCAAGGGCAGGGGTGGCCAAAAGGTGGCCCTTCCCCCAACCCCTCCCCGACACCTACCGCTCACACCTTGAGGGCCACCATGCACTCACCCTCATGTGATCCTGATTCAGCTCTGCTCAGCACAGCTTCAGATCGTGCCCTCCCCCTGGGACCTCAGGCAGCTCAGACTGTCCAAACTGGGGCTCTTCGGGGGTGTGGGCATCCTTATGAATGTACAGAATGTATGTTCTGTTTGGGCCCCGGGCCATTTCAGTCAAAACTTGATATTTTCCCTCAATGTCACGGCAGAAAGGCTGCCCAAACCCTCAACTTATTCAGGGCTGTGCCTTTGAAAGACTTGATGTGGGCCTCCAGGGGGCCGGGGATCGTGCACAGAGGGTCACTTTGAGTCCATTTTCAGTCCATTCTCTTGGTGTCTGGCCTCACAGAGGCCCTCCTTTGGGGTCGGGCCAGGGCAGGGGTTGGCGGGGGGGGGGG